AATGCGAGAGATGTTTTTGTCACAGCAAAATCAATTAAATCAGGTATTTTTCTAGGATCTGTAGGCCAATATGTAGGGCTGCCTGGTGAAACGTAGTCCAGTTTGTTGCATGTTTTAATGAGTGCATTATATAGTTGCCTTCCTTTGGGGGTCACAAGGCGGGATCCCCAGTGCGTGTGCTTGGCGTTGTAATCTCCTGCTGCTATGAATCGCTCTCCAAGCGAATTGTAGAAGTCCATGAATTGGTCTTCGGAGACTGTAAAGCGGGGTGGGCAGTAGACAGCGGCAATGGCAAGGTTGCAGTTGCCCAACTGTAATTTTATCGATGTAGCTTGCAGATGATTTTTAGCAAACCGTTGGTGAAAGTGGTGTTTGACGCGGTCTCTTATTAAGATTCCAGTGCCGCCATGCGCTTTACCATCTGGATGATCTGTGCCATAGAACGTGTATCCCCGTATTTGAAAGTTATATTTGCTGGTGAGATGCGTTTCTGCCAGCAACATAACGTCGATGTGGTTTTCGTTCAGAAATTGAGTTATTTCAGGTTTATGCCGTGAAACACCGTTGGCGTTCCACAGAGTTATTCGAAGGCTAGGCATGGTTTATTTGGACTGCTGAGCTGCAAGCATTTGTAGTAAGATATTTTGGTTTTGCATAAGGGTTTGCATGGTGGTTTTCATGAAGGACATAAATTCCATCATATTTTGTTGCAAAGTAATCATCATAGATTCCATGTTACTTTGTGGCTGTCCCATGGCCTGCTGGATGTTATCAATTTTCGGCTCTATGTGAGCTGTGCCTGATCTTAGAGCACTGGCGTAAGAAATTCCGTTGGTGGTAATTGAAGGGCCAAATGATGATCTGGCTGCTTTTGCGAAGAAAACTTCCGGTGTCGTTTGTGATCTCATGTAAGTGTTTTGTGTGTTCAGGGAGCGTGCCGTTGTTGCTCGTTGCATCCGACTTTTCATCGCCTTGTAGACTGGACAGCCTCTGTAGTTAGCTGTGTGGTTTCCTTGGCAGTTTACACACTTTTTAGTGAGAGAGTCTTCCTTGTTGGCAGGGCAGGGTTCGGAGCCGTGGCAGTTTCCACAAGCTACACATACTGACCTGAGGGTGCAGTAAGCCCTGGTATGACCGTATTCCTGGCAGTTTGTGCATTGCACTGGTCCGGTCCGTTTGTGCGGCTCTTCCACTGAATTCTATTCCCTTAAGCACAACTTGCAAACCTTTGCAACTTTTCAGCTGGTACGTGTAGTAATTCTTTTTGGCATCGTTTAAGTACTTCGACACTGCTCGGAAATCGTCTTCGGTTTTGGTTTGGAGTTTAGTTTCGCTTATATTCCCTTTCATAAGCGGAATAACATGAAAGTTATCTTTTCCGACAAGCTCAACTATTTTGTTGACTAGGGCATTCGAGATCTTCTCCCGAATAAAAATAGGTGGGGGCTTTAGTTTTCTTGGGGCTAATTGTTCAGACTCTGTTTCAGGCTCCGCCAGAATGGAAAATCTGTTTTCATCTAATGGCCCGGGATTTACAGGGCCTTTGTTGGAACGATTTATTGCCGTCCGAGTTTTTTGGGGGTGTTAGCTTGCGCTTGGAGATATTAATGTAGCGATCCATGCCTGTCTGAATGGCCGAACCCGCTTGCAGAATTGTTTGCACCGATTTTTGCACTTGGTTGTGTTGTTGCTTTACCCGCAGCACAAGAAGAGGGTGGAGTCGTTATTGCATTGTTGGCGACAGAGACCGTTGTAGTAGTCGTAGTAGTTTCTGTTGTTGTTGCGCTAGTCGGCAGAAGCTCTGTTGGAGTCTTGCATTGCTCACTCCATGGCGTTCGAGCGGTGAAGAGCAGGGCGGGAGAGCAAGAGTTAGCTCTCTGGTTTTCGGCGGTCAGTAAACTTGCACCTTCAAGCACTTTCGGTTCTAGAGTATTACTCGTCACCGTAAAATAGGCGTTGTTACGGGCCAAAGAGAGACGACGTTTGTCTTGTTCTCTCTGAACTTTTTCACGGGCTTCGTCTTGTTGTTTTTGTCGTCGAGTGCGCTGATCCACGTTCTTACTCATTTGTTTATAGTTAGTGCGTAAAGATTAATTATTTAATTAATTAAAACTTTAGTTTACGATATGCGATTTGCATCGCAAAACGCAAAACCTCGCGCTTATTTTTTTTTTCGAACGTTTTCGACTGATTGGCTAATTGTTTTTCCGGAGCGTTAATAAAACACGTCTGCACGCAGCCGAATTGATTTTGGTTATACAATACAATTTATGTATTCGTATTTATATGTCCCTTTTTGTCCTCTTGGAGCTCCAGCAGGGTAGTTAGGGGAAAAAGGGGTGTTCAATTTAAGCCACTTGGCGGACTTAAACTTTTCTGCGAGACCAAATTTCCTGATGTAAAGAAGATATGTTATATATTTATAATAAATGTACCTAGTAATTGAGATGCAGATGATGTTGGCCTAAGGCACTTACCTGTGGGGAGATTAACCAGCTGTAGTCCGGCCTGGCAGTGGCTCCGGCCTTAGAAAATGGGTGGTGCCCCCTGAAATCTACTGGGTACCATAGGATGGGTGGGAGCGCGGTGCCCGATGTTTACATTTTTTTTGGGTACCCTGTTGGGGGAACCCTGCCCTGAGCATCAAGCTAGCCGGTGCTGTCCCCAAGAAATAGAAATGCAGTTCCGTAACATATTCACTACGAAAACGTAAACAATAATGACGGGTAATTTTAGAAAGTTCAATAAATGCTGTTTATAGTATTACTAATTAATTAATTACTGATCCATCCGTGTGGCAGCATTAAGAGTTTATCCATTCTTTCCCAGGCGCATACCGTATTCACAGCATGGAGCAGAACACCTTGGAGAACGAGAGTATGTCCCCAGACTTATATTTGTGACTTACAATAACCTAATAAAATATATTTATTTCAAGTGGACCCCGCTGACATGGAAGCTTCTGCAACGGAAATCAACGCTCAGGCAGCTCTGCTCCCCCTGCAAAGCGCGGAAAGGTGGCCCACTATGCCGAGCTTGTGGAGATAGCGCTCGAGAAAGACTGGAGGAACAGCTAGCGCAGACTGCCATCCTTGACATTTTTATTAAAATGAAATATGAAATTATAATAAAACAAAAAACAAACATTTGTATTTTTAATGAACTTGATTTGTTACCATTTAGACAATTTTCTGCAGGCTGCCAAAAATTTGCAGACATTTTAATCCGATTTGGTTGTTTGCGTTGGTCACTTGCAGAATGATTAGCCACAGCTGTTCAGATAAGCTGTTATCGGATGGTGAAAGTGCTCTGTGGAAATTAGAGTTTCACATATGTCAAAAATCCCAACAGTTTCCAACGGATGGACTCTATGCGAAGAGGGTATAGCCTAGTATTCAGATCGAGAAACGAGTATGCTAGCGTAAAAACTTTAATCTTTCCAATGTGACCAAAATATTGAGAATTCAACAGATTTAAGCGTGCTACGGTCGTACTGTCAATCAGCTGGGTTTGTTGACAAGCAGTTAAAATTCAAATATCGTATTTGCGGGAAAGAGCCTTTAAAAGATATTATCAAATACCTTGGCAAGACAAGTCTGCCGCTGTACAAAGAAATAAAAAAACAATACAATTTAAATTTAACAGTTGTTTTTTTAATTTACTGATAATTATTTGCTAATTTAAAGTTCATAGCTGCACTTTTATTCTGTTTTTTCGTACATTCTAGACCTAAAAAACATTTTGCTCTGACAAGGGGCACCCCAGATAGTATTAATGTTATTTTGTCCTCACATGTAAACTCCTGCAATCGACTTTTGTGAGTTTTTCCCTCCATTTCTTATAATGTTCAGTGAGCAGCGCACGCCAAAAGATTAAATTTTTAAATCTTTTCGTCGATCTGAATACTAGGCTTTACTATAAAAAAAGCGCCTCGATAGTGCCTTGAAAGCCCTGTAATCGATACGTCGATAGTATCGTGAGTTGTTAACCCAGCCCTACTACATTGCCAGTGTGTGTTAGAGCAGCAAAAACATCGATGGTGGCACTATCGATAGTTTTGATTGACGAAAACCGTACGCCAGTCATGAGAAAGAGCGAGAGGCAAACAGCTGGCGTTCACTTTTCGTCGGGCCTTTTTTTCACGTCGGTCTCCTGATCGACGAAAAAAATACCAGAAAATTCCATAGCGTTGCCAGTCTGCGGAAATAAACTTTGGGTGAACCCTAGCGAAAAGATTAAAAAATGTAATCTTTTGGCGTGCGCTTCTCACTGAACATTATAAGAAATGGAGGGAGAAACTCACAAAAGTCGATAGCAGGTGTTTACATGTGAGGACAAAATAACATTAATACTATCTGGGGTGCCTCTTGTCAAAGCAAAATGTTTTTTAGGTCCAGAATGTACGAAAAAAAAAAATAAAAGTGCAGCTATGAACTTTAAATTAGCAAATAATTATCAGTAAATTAAAAAAAAGAACTGTTAATTTTAAATTGAATTGTTTTTTTAATTTCTTTGTACAGCGGTAGACTTGTCTTGCCATGGTATTTGATAATATCTTTTAAAGGCTCTTTCCCGCAAATACGATATTTGAATTTTAACTGCTTGTCAACAAACCCAGCTGATTGACAGTACGACCGTAGCACGCTTAAATCTGTTGAACTCTCAATATTTTGGTCACACTGGAAAGTTTAAAGTTTTTACGCTAGCATACTCGTTTGTCGATCTGAGTACTAGGCTAGAGCCAATATAGTAGGAGCATTCCTTTAGAAAATAATTTCTAGAAAAAAAAGTAATTATATAAATATGTTAATATTTCTGTCGAAATCAAAAGAAAATTAGTAAATATTCAATTTTTCGTATTCAAAATGTGCGTACCCTCTTGATTGTTCGAAATACAAATGATGGACATTTTTTATAATACCATCGTGATAGTTTGAAAAATATCGAGCACGGTCACCGGCGGCCTGCCATTGATATTATCGATAATACCATCAATTTTTTTGCAGCTCTAGTGTGTGTAATTGGTCATCTCTGAAAAGCATATATTTTGTGGCTTATAAAAATGTTTAAAATATTAGCCAAGGAGCCTGCGCTGTTACGAAGACATATACCTGTTACATTTGTATATCTCAGTAAATGGGCAGGTAAATTCAACAATAAACTTAAAGTCACATTGATAACACTTAATACGCTCATACGCTTGCAGAGAGTATTATGTACATATATATTCAGACAAAAGTTTGCATCGCAGTGAAGGAAACATTTCCAACCTTATAAGGTAAATATATTCTTGATCAGCATCACCTGCAGAGTCGATCTAGCCATGTCTGTCTCTCAGTCCTTTTCTACGCAAACTAGTCCCTCAGTTTTAAAGCTATCTGCTCGAAACTTTCCCACAAGTTGTCTTTCTATTGCAGGTAGTATATAAGTCGGAACGAGCCGGATCGGCCGACTATATCATATAGCTTCCATTTGAACAATCGGAAAAATCAATTTAAAAATCCTTCACTGCGTTGCACACTTTTGACCAAAATTATAATACCCTCTGCAATGGTATACCCACTAACCATACAACATATAGACTGGTCATTTCATACAACGAAAATGGTCACAAAAGTTTCAAAGCGGGAGGCCCCACAGCTGGTAGCGGCAGGCCCCGTACACTTCGTGTGCCTTCTGGTTTTTTTCGCTCTCATTCTTATTCTCATTTTGACGCTCGCGCGCTCATTACTCGGGTTCATTTTGAAGAGGTTGCCCTGCGCTTGAATTGGGCTTTGTATGTATGGGTGTTCATGCATTCTCATACAGGGGTGCATGTGTGCGATCATTTTATTTCGATGCAGCAAGAATATTTTGGCTTTTGCTACTTTTTAAACTTGGTACCCTAACAATATGGACGTATTCACTATTGGGTTAATGATAAAAATAAGAATATTATTTGTCATGGTATATTTTTTAATATTTCCGCATATATTTCATTTTGGTTTACAAATTCAAATCAGTGGTAGCAGAAAAATGTTTTGCATATATGTATGTATTCCAATTAATATAAATCAACCCTGCAGTACCGTTCATCACCTTTTAATCGCTTTTTCATCACCAAAAATTCATCACTGCTGATTAATCGGCGATGAAACTTCATACAAATTAGTGATGAATTTAACATTGGCATGTCCTAGGAAATAATCAGTGAAAAATTCATCACTCTTTAATCAGTAATTCATCACTCTTTTTTCAGTTTTTCATCACTCTTTAATCAGTAATTCATCACTCTTCGAACAGCGTTTACTGATGAACATGCGATGAAATAGTGATTACCGAGTGATGAATTACTGATTAAAGAGTGATGAATTCATCACATTTTCATTTCAGTTATTCATCACTCTTTAATCAGTAATTCATCGCTTTTTCATCTCATTTTCATCGCATTTTCATCGCTTTTTCATCGCATTTTCATCACTTTTTCATCGCTTTTTTTTTCATCAGTAAAATTCATTCAGTAAATTTTCATATAAATTTCTTTTTATTTTATTACATTATTTCATTATTATTTCATTTATTTCATTACATATAACTAATTAATTTAACTTAATTCAATCTACATATGTACGTTTTCAGTTGTCTCGGAAGTGTTGAGGATGTTTCGGTTTCGGTGCTCTTTTTTGACTTCGTGCTTTATGTACTGGCTCTTCCTGACCAAGTATATCTAAAATAGAAAAATTATTATTAAATATATAAAAACTTACAGCGTTTCTTGTTTTGCCGCCGGCCAAGTCCAGCTTAGTTTATGCTGGCCCAACAGTTTTATTATAAGCTTCGCCTTAAATAATGAATAAATATATTAACAGTATATGTAGGTATAGTTCAAAATAATTAATAAAATAACACTTACCTAAATTTCTGATAAATTTAGTTATAAAATTTCACAAAAAATCTCAGCTTCGATCTGTTCTCTCCGTTCTCTCAAATGCAAGTGCACGTAAAAACCGCGAAAACAACTCCAGTTGAAAACAAGGGCGCCGTTAATCCTATTGTTCTTTCCTTTGCCTAATTTGTCTTTACATGTTTCGCTTCGCGTCAAAGGGTATATAAAAGCATGTCCGACTATGCAAAATAATCACATAACTTAAATTCACTTAAAAAAGGAATCCATACCTTTCAAAACTATCATAATAATTTTATTTTTAAAAAGTATTTCCATAAAATAATATAATTAATAAGAATCAACAACTACAATACAAAAATTATGCTAATTTATTTTCAAGGGTGTATAAAGGTCGATCTGATTTTAATACATTGTCCTCCTCCTCTCAGCTCATTTTATGGAAAGAGACACAGTAAGAGATGGATCTGCGTTGCCTACGATCGGGGACTGCGAGTTTCGGCTCTGCCTGCTTCGCACTCGGCTCTGCCTGCTTCGCACTCGGCTCTGCCGACTTTGCCTTTGGCTCTGCCGGCGTCCCAGTCCGCTGCTGATTAAACAGTGATGAATTTTTGTAGTGATGAATTTCGGAACTGCAGGGAATCTAAAGAGATAGGAACAGGGCACATCGCAGTCGGTTTCTACGCTTAGTTGTTGTTCTGCGAGCGGCTGGTGCCTGCATACCCTACCGACGATTGAATTTTAGGGGTGGGGACAGAAACAAGAACGGTTGTTTAGCTTTTGTTTTGTTTACATTTTTTAGGACACTTCTTTTGAATGTTATGTTTAATGACCTTTGGTTGATTTATTTTTTAAGGTTCGCAGTGTAATTTTATTCAACTTTGTTATTTAATGATCTACTTTTTATTATACCCTTGCAGAGGGTATTATAATTTTGGTCAAAAGTGTGCAACGCAGTGAAGGAGACATCTCCGACCCTATAAAGTAGATATATTCTTGATCAGGATCACCTCCTGAGTTGATATAGCCATGTCCGTCTGTTCGTCTATCTGTCCGTCTGTCTGTTTCTACGCGAACTAGTCTCTCAATTTTAAAGATATCGAATTAAAACTTTGCACACACCCTTCTTTTCTTTGCACGCAGTATATAAGTCGGAACGGCCGGGATCGGGCGACTATATCCTATAGCTGCCATACAACTGATTGATCGGAAATGCCATATCTTTGGTGTTTGTAAAGTTAGGAAGTTGGGAATATCTATGGGTTTTATTTTTGGCCAATCAATCCGACCTACCAAATTTCATAAGGATCGGCCGACTATATCCTATAGCTGCCATATAACTGAACGATTGAAAATGCCATAACTTTGGTGTTTTTAATGTTAGGAAGTTGGGAATATCTATGGGTTTTATTTTTGGCCAATCAATCCGACCTACCAAATTTCATAAGGATCGGCCGACTATATCCTATAGCTGCCATATAACTGAACGATTGAAAATGCCATAACTTTGGTGTTTTTAATGTTAGGAAGTTGGGATTTTTATTGAGTATTAAGAATGCATCATATGAATAATTTTGAAGAATATAATTTACAGAGTATTCTGCAAGGGTACCTCAACTTCGGCTCCGCCCGAAGTTAGCTTTCCTTTCTTGTTTTTATGTATGTTTGTTCTTAAAAGTCTTCGCTCGAATTAGTTACCGATAAATATACATACATATATGTACACCTGAGTTAAATAGTAGTTTTTAAACTTTTTCACAACTTAAAAAAATGAAACTTTTTCACAACTTCTAAAATACTTTTTATTTTTGTAAAAGGTAAATGAAACAAATATACAAATCTGAATTTTTTATTTAAATAATATTTAAATTTTCAATTGTATAATTTTAATCTCGGAAAATAACCAATTGTTTAATCACTATAAAAATTATATTGAAATTAATTTTCTTAAATATAATACTATTTTAAATCAAGAAGTAAACTTTTAATGATTTTTAATATATTTAAATTTTGATCTAATAATGTAAAAGTTTATTTATCCAATTTTTCCCACTAATATTGCTGTAAGCACTGGTGTATTGTAAGTAATATAAGTATCGTAATTAAATCGGTATGCAGGGAACACCACGAGGAGGCCTTTGCAATTGCGATGGAGTCTTCAATGAAGACTTGCGAGTCAAATTGAGATATCAAAATGCTTTAAACATCTCCTTGTTTCCCACCTAATTAACATAGTTTTATAAGAAACTAATTATGAGTATTTTTAGTTTTCTTGCACCAGCTGTTGATACAGCTTTTCCTTTCGTATACATTTTTTCTGTAAGCCATTTACTGTTTTTCCTCAGTAAAATTAAAATAAATCCATCTAGCATTTTCATCCTGTGTTCATAACAGGGATGGGTAACCGAAAACCAATTTTAATAAATGCTGGACTTTTCAGTGGCGAGTATACAGGAATGTATAATTTTTTGTTTTATTCTTTTTATATAAGGATTTTTATCAAATATTTTTTTAAAAATATTGTAGTGAATTTCAATTAAAGAGAAGTAGTAATCTGAAGGAGCTTTAAGTTTTAAACCTTTATCGGCGCAGTCATAATTTTTATTTATAATATAATGTTCTGTGGAGCATTGTGTTTCTATATTTGTTTTTAATAGATCAGAACACACTCCGCACTCTTTTTTAAGCAGAAATTTGAACAATATATAGCCTTCCAAATAACGCAAGGCATTACTATCACATTCGTTTCCAGTTGCAATATAAAAAATTTGCTCAATTTCCGTCTCTTCATCTGAGAACATATCGAAATCGGTACTTTCTTCGGTTTTTATGTCATTACAAGTTTTGTTTAAGCTGCAGTCCTGGATAACATTTATTAACATTGTATCTTCATCGGGACCGCAATTTCCAGATACTGATGATGTGGATGTTAATATTTTTATCGATAGCGTTTTTGACATTATGATGTTAAACTTATACATCGTTGGATTAATATTTGTTGCTCCGCGAGCCCGTATTAAATAAAATAGGTTTTCTAAGGGGTCTTGATTCAATTTCGCGGTTGATATACAAAATATTTCCGAGCTCAAAAAATGCTCAAAATCATTCCGTCAATGCAATGCACTAATTGTGGATATTTAAGTTCTCCAAAATACTTCCTCATTTCAACGAGGTATCTTTGTACGTTATTATTTTTCTGCATTCTACATCTGTATGGGTTTCTTTCATATAGAACATGGCTATTGAGGCAATCAAATATCCTATTTATTTTTTCTATAAAATTTGCTTTAAAATAACTTTCATTTTTTCAAATGAATTCGGATTAATATGCTTGGCAGTTAATTTGGGACAAAGCCTCGTTGAGTTTCTGGCCTCAAGTTGGTATAATTTTTATACCCTTGCAGAGGGTATTATAATTTTGGTCAAAAGTGTGCAACGCAGTAAAGGAGACATCTCCGACTCTATAAAGTATATATATTCTTGATCAGGATCACCTCCTGAGTTGATATAGCCATGTCCGTCTGTCTAGTCTCTCAGTTTGAAAGATATCGAATTGAAACTTTGCACACACCCTTCTTTCCTTTGCACGCAGTATATATGTCGGAACGGCCGGGATCGGCCGACTATATCCTATAGCCGCCATATAACTGATTGATCGGAAATGCCATAACTTTGGTGTTTGTTAAGTTAGGATGTTGGGATTTTCTATGGGTCAATCAATCCGACCTACCAAATTTCATAAGGATCGGTCGACTATATCCTATAGCTGCCATATAACTGAACGATTGGAAATGCCATAACTGTTTTTAAAGTTAGGAAGTTGGGATTTTCTATGGGTTTTATATTTGGCCAATCAATCCGACCTACCAAATTTCATAAGAATCGGCGGACTATATAAAATTATTTTCCATTTAGAATCTGTCGTCGATTAATTGTTATACCCTTGCAGAGGGTATTATAATTTGGTCAAAAGTGTGCAACGCAGTGAAGGAGACATCTCCGACCCTATACAGTATATATATTCTTGATCAGGATCACCTCCTGAGTTGATATAGCCTTGTCCGTCTGACCGTCTGTCTGTTTCTACGCAAACTAGATATTAAAGATATCGAATTGAAACACACCCTTTTTTCCTTTGCACGCAGTATATATGTCGGAACGGCCGGGACGGCTGACTATATCCTATAGCTGCCATATAACTGATTGAAGTTGGGATTTTCTATGGGTTTTATTTTTGGCCAATCAATCCGACCTACCATTTCATAAGGATCGACCGGCTATATCCTATAGCTGCCATATAACTGATTGATCGGAAATGCCATAACTTTGGTGTTTGTAAAGTTAGGAAGTTGAAAGTTTTTAAGGGTTTTATTTTTGACCAATCAATCCGACCTAGCAAATTTCATACGGATCGGCCGACTATATCCTATAGCTGCCATATAACTGAACGATTGGAAATGCCATAACTTTGGTGTTTTTAAAGTTAGGAAGTTGGGATTTTTTATGAGTATTAAGAATGCATCATATGAATAATTTACAGAGTATTCTGCAAGGGTATATCAAATTCGGCTCCGCCCGAAGTTAGCTTTCCTTTCTTGTTTTATATATATGTTAACATGAACACTTATAAAATACGGTCTAATCCTAACAAACATTTTGTTTTTACATATTTTTTATAGTTTAACTAGAACTTCCCCATACTATTTCGCACTTGCTTTTGCCGCATTCAATATAGCTGTCAAAACCAATGCCAATCATTAAAATTACAATTATTCTTGAAACAACTAAATTAAGGCAGCATTCACTGTAATTAAGTATTTGATATGTAAGGGTGGTCTCGCGCAGCAGTTTCTGCGCAGTTCTTTGAATTACAGATGTCTGCGTATCACCTATTGATGAATTAGGAAAAATACGATGAAAGAATAACTTCCCTTCTTAAAATTTTAAGGGAACATTCTTGAATAGTTATAGGTTCGAATTAAATAAACAAAAAAAATCGATTTTTTGAAACCGAGAATAGGGGGTTCCCTTAATCTGCTGGCCTAGAAACTCATTCAGAAGTAAATAATAAATCGGTTAACGGCGATGGCCGGAGTTATTTTTCAAAATGAGCTTGTGCTCTTTATTCTTTGGGTATTCAAAATGAACTAAATTAATAAGTGGAACTTAAAGCTAACAAGAGACTCACAAGACTATATAAAACTTTAAACGCTTTTAAATTGTCCATGATTGGACTATAATTACATAGATAGCTTATACATTGGATTTTTTATCGATAAAAAAGTGAAGAAAATGTTCAGTAAAAACGACACTTCATTTTTCGAACGCCGCCATAATGTTATTTTTTATTCAATTTCGATAAAAGTAGTCTATTACATAATTAAATTCCTACTAAACAAGAAAATTTTTGATTTTTTTGTTTCAAACTATTTTTATTACCTGTAGAATAGTCGCCAGCGGGTTTCCTGTTTCATGCATTGGCCTACGTCGCCCTCTGTCCTGCTTTCGAAAATGCTTCAAAATGAAATGAAATTTTTACAAAATTATCTTTAAAATAACATAAATATACCTGAAATGTTTAAAGTACCTAAGTTTTTTTCTTTGTCTAATCGGACAAAACCTAACAAATGAGACTATCGGAAGTACCATTGATGTGTTTCAGCTCTGTTATGTACTGCGTTATTATTAAATTGTGTCCAAAGTCCAGTACAATTAGGAATTAATTAAATGTTTTTTTTTATAGCTGTTCAACAATTTCAATTAAGTGACACAATGGAAAACTACAGAGAAGCGGAACCAATCCCTATCCCTACTAATGTGGATGCTGCTGAAACAACTCGATTCTCTCATCAGCGTTCTCGTGACATCTCGTCCACAGTGATTACGGCACAGGCGTCTATCTCAACCATCGACATCACCATCGACAACAGTTTAAATGCAGTCCAAGAAGTTTTTCAAGATCCTCATGTACAATCCTATGATTGCTTTGGTTTCATTAGCCTCAACTCGGCTATGCAAAGCAATGTACCAACGCCGTTCGGAGGGTTCAACAAGTTTTCGCATTTAAACATGCCCGGCGGACAGTGGTCGCAAGAAAATAAGTTTATGGCACAAAACATGCATAACTCCCACTACAGCGCTCTTCGCGACAATGCCCGAGCGGAATGGGCAACCTATGATCAGAATGCCACTGTTGGAAGTAATTGCAGAGGTGAGAAGCTAAAAAAACAATAAATACAAGATCGGCTCAAAGTCTACTCAAAAAAATTTTAAAGGTTGGTCCCTAAAAATGCCGACCTGATCCAATATTTGTTCTATAGCAAAATTAAAAATGTAACCTAATTTGTTTTTTTTTTTTTTTTTATCGAAAATCCATTTTTTTTAACTAGAAAGTTCGAAAACATCGCATACTTTGTCCAAGCTTTGCTACATAGGGGAGGTTTATATATTACCAACTCAAAGTGGCGGAAAAAGTCAGGGGAAGACATTTTTGAAACGCTCATGATCCAGTTTTATTACATAGGTATTTTTTTTGGAAAATATCTAAACACCACATTGAAAATAAATTCATATAAAATATGCTTTTGACAAGAATGTACGTAAAATTTTTGTGACATTTAAAAGACAATTTTTTAAAAGTTACTTCAAATAGATACCTGATAGAGAACATTTTTTTTTTCATTAAAGTTTTGGACTTCATTTTATTCTAATCAGGGGTGTTTTAGAAATCTCTTTCCATGTAAATTATAAACCGAATTCTAATCTCAATGTCAGATAATACATTTTTGGTTGGAATTAAATCTGTCGTCATTTTTACGATAGTCTTATTATTTGTAAAAAATAAATTTTTTTTAAAACGATACGAATAAAAGTTATAAACTTTGCAATATATCAGTTAAAAACTATCATAATTAAATCCGACCAACCTGACAAAGATACCACCTTGATTGATTTGCAGAGGGTCAGTTAAAAAAAATAGTGTCTCCCGATACAGGCATATGGTAACTATGGTAACACCTGGTTTAAGTAAACTAAACATTTATAATTTCCAGGGTAAAGCAAGGACAGGACCACAAACGACGTCTTATTACCATTTGTATAACAACATGTTAACATGTTATGTGACAGGATTTTTGTGCCATTAACTGCCATTCTGGGGTAGCCAACCAAGTAGCCAATTCAATTTGTGCTTTTGTTTTTTGATTTTTTTAAAAATAAGTTTTAATCAGTTTTTTATTTTGTGGGAACTATATTTATTGACAAATAGATGAACAATACAGGACTAGCGTTTGCTTTTTGAACTATCGATAATTTTGACATTGACATTTCGAATGACATTGTCAATGTGTCAGATATTTAGTAAAAGATTTGCGGTTTACGAAATGGTTAAGTTTAAGCTCGAAGAAAATTGGGAAATATTGAAAACTTTCTTCCAAAGTGGAGAGTCTTCAACCGAAACTGCAAGAAAATTGCGGTAAAAAATTCGGAAAAAAATAAAGCGCTTTCCAGGCAGTTTGTGGATAGTTTTTTGAAGCGTGTGCGTGAGACTGGATCGTTGATGGATAAAACAACACGTTTACGTGCTCGTCAAATTCGGTCGGTCGAAAATATAGCTGCGGTGGCCGAAAGTGTCAATGACAATCCGTCGACGTCAACTCGGCACCGTGCTCAAGAGATATTTCGCGCACTTCCCTGCAACGGATTTTAACCAAAGACCTCCGTCTAAGGCTATGTAAGAATCAGGCCATGTAAGAACCATCCAATGCGTTTTCGGTTCGCGGAATGGGCTCAGGAGCGCTTGGTCGAAGATGACCATTTTTACCGAAAAATCGTGTTTTCTGATGTGGCCCATTTCCACCTCGGTGGTTATGTTAATAAGCAAAACTGTCGCATTTAAGGTTCAGAAAATCCACAAGTCGTCTTGGAGAAGCCAATGCATCCACAACGAGTGACTGTTTGGTGCGGTATGTGGTCAAGTGGCCTCTTCCATTTTTCTTTCCCCGAATGGAAGAGGAAGACATACATAGATGACATATGGTTCCAGCAGGACGGCGCTACGTGCCACACAGCCAGCGTCACAATCGATCTTTTGGCGGTACGTTCGAAAATCGTATAATCAGCCGAAACGGCGATGTCAACCGTTGGACTATTTTTTGTGGGGTGCTGTCAAGGATAAGTGTTACGCCAACCACCCTGACACGATTGACGACCTAAAGCACGAGATTGAAGTCGCCATCAGGGCCATTGAGGGCCGTACCATCGAAAATGTGTTTAAAAATTGGGTCGACCGAATGGGCTACTGTGAAGCCAGCCGAGGCATCCATATGAACGAAATGGTGTTTCATACATAAACCGCAATGTTGAGGCTATCCAATAAAAATTTTTTTTTTTAAATATATACTAGTTGTTTTTTATATCATAAAAATAGTTAATTATTTAACAATTTATTATTTATTGAACAATTTAAATTTCTTTCCGCTAGAAAGGTATCATCATTTAAGTCTAGTATTCCTTTCGCGCTTTTTGACACTGTTCACCACCAGCTGCGTGCCCGAAAGCATATTTGCAAAAGAGTACTAAATAGATTCATTGAAATGGGAAATAGCTTTAAAAATCCATCTCCAGCGCCGTCTACTTCCTCTTCTGCCCTAATAAACTTGACTCCCAATTTTTCTTTTCTATTTAAACACAAGAGGCGTACTTAGTAGGCTGACAAAGTTGTACTCGGATAGTTTTCTTTTTCATCCAACATTATTGTGCTTACAGAAATCTGGTTAAAGCACGAGATTTGGTTCGTTGTAGGTTCAAGTTTTTACAAAGTCAAAAACAGTTTTATCGAATTATTAGTACTAGGCAAGTTGTCCCCTATCCCCAAGCGAAGGGGATAGGCGAAGGTCTACGACTTGTGTTATTGTATTAACCAAATCTTTCGCTGCTTGTACCATGTGATCTTTTAACATAGTATTCAAGTTATCTTAAGGGTATGACACAATGAGTCGTCCTTAAAAGCCCTGTCTCTATTTGGATCCGAGTTACTTCAGGCTTTTCACACGTAACTACCCTGGCCCAGTACTTTTTCAATTATTTATTAACGGTCGGCATCTAGTCTTGACAAAACGAGCCATGGGGAAAAGGCAAAAAGACATCGAATTTCTAAGTATATAGTTATCGTTTCCCATTAGTTTTATATATATATTACTTGCTCATATATCCCAACATCATCTGAGTTCCCAATTTACGCGAATCACCTTTCCGTTCTCCAGTCCATTTCCAAAAAACTGTCAGATCGAGATCTGTAAGTAGTATTATGTGATTTCTATATACCTAGTGCGACATGGTCCCCACACGAAAACTCAAATATTTTACTTCCTTTAGCGCAGCATGACTTTATTGACGGCTTGCTTGACAACGCGGTGAAAAATCGGACATTTTTTAAAAAAATTTTTTGGCGATACGGATAGTTTCAGCTCAATTTTGTTTTTTGCATGTGATTGGGCAACATTTAAACAATATGTGTGATTTTTTTCTTCCAAAAATCATAGAGTAAGAAACTATATAGAGGTTTCATTTGCTCTGCCCGGGCCTCTGCCAAAGCTCTGCTGAGAGCCATGTTCGAAGCTAACTTCTTCAAACTTCGGTTTCTCACCACTTCTAACATGTGCGAAGCACAAGCAATAGTATGGGGAATTCTCGCACCTATCCTTAGGAATAAGAGCGACCAGTGCAGCAATAAGAATTCACCATGGGCATGGATTCAGGCTCGATTCGAACATTTGCAAAACTCTCTTTTTTTCCGTTTTTCCCCTACGTGGCATCACTGGCAAAGTCACTCGAGAGCGCGGGCAGAGCAAATGACGGCTCTATACATTATTACTCTATGCAAAAATATTACAAATTGACTGAGATATAGGCAATCTCCGGCGGCGCAGGATCATGTACAACGACTTTGAAGAGGGTTACTTTTCAGGAGAGCGTTTTAAAGTTTTGGACACCCATAAAAAACGAGCTAACTTACCTACGTTCCACTGGCCATAAGTTCGGAAGCATTACTCGGATCGATCTAAAACTTCAACACAATATTCTTAAGATGTTGTGCATTCAGAAAAAAAAATACAAAGAAAATTTAAAAAAATAATTTAAATACTATACCCCCCCTTAAACGCCTTTTTTAAGAGCCTTGCGGTGATAATTCCCCAGGACGAACGGGTCAACTGAATCCGAAAAAATAAAAATATTTCTTTTTTTAAAGTAGTATCCTAAACTTGAACGAACGTTTAAAAAAAAATATTTTTTTTTGTGCATACGGGAACGTTTTATGCAAAAAAATACGTTTTTGGAAGCTAAAATTCTTACAAAACTATCTATTTCGGCGAAATAAAAATTTTTACATGAGAAAACGATCGTTCAAGTACTAATAAAATTCATTACGAACATTTAAAAAAAAATTGAAGAAAATCGGTTCAGTAGTTTTTCGCCAATCCATATCACCGCAAAGTCATTTTTTAAAAAACACCATTTCGAGATATTCGCGTTTAAAGTTTCAAGTTTGGATTTGGGCGGGGACGAGGCGCGCGGCCAGGAGCGCTGTAACTATTTTTCACTGCTCAAATCTCTATGAAAATTTGGGCAAATGTTCTCAAAAAGTTGTTCTTTAAGATAAAGCAAAAAAAAACAATTTTCGATATTTTGAAAATGAAAAAGGTTATACCCCCTTAAGATTCCGGTTTCGGATGATCTGTGCAATACGAAGTGTAATCTTTTATTTTGATGTCGTATTTGCTTGTGAGATGCGTTTCTGCCAGCTGCATTACGCCTATGTGGTTTTTATTGAGGAAATGAAACGCCATTGGCATTCCGCATGCATATTCCAAGGCAAGACATCGATTATTTGGATTGTTGGGATGCGAGAATATTTATTAGAATGTTTTGATTTTGCATACGGATTTGCATTGTTGTTTTTATGAGGTACATAAAGTCCATCATACTTTGTTGTAAGGTCAGCATCATGGTTTCGTTGTTGTTTGGTATTTGTCCCATTGCTTGCTGTATTATGATTATTATTATGATTATGTTGATAATATTTTTTGCCAAAAAAACTTTTCTTTTAAAGCCTCTATTATCTGCGAGGTGGATACGCAGGGCTTTATGCCCTTTAGCACTACTTGCAAGCCCTTGCTGCTCTTGAGCTGATACATGTATTTGGGTTTTCTA